GCATGGATTAGATTAATTAGCAATTCTAAATTGGCCAAAGGTGTGAATGCAAGCGTGAACGGTTGTCTGTTTCTCTGTGTTAGCCCTGTGATAGACTGGTAACCTGCCCAGAGTGTACCCCGCCTTTCACCCATGACAGCTGGCATAGGCTCCAGGCCCAATGGGGCACTGCATTGAATATATATATACATTACCAGTCAAAAGTTTCTCATTTAATGGTTTGTCTTTATTTTTACTACTATCTATATTGTAGATACAGACTGAAGACATCAAATATATGAAGCAAGATATGGAATTATGTATTATATCTCAGTGAGCTTCATGATGCAGTCTCCTGAAATGGTTTTCACTTCACAGGTGTGTCTTGTCAGGGTTCATTTGTGGAGTTTCTTGCCTTCTTAATGGGGTTGCGGCAATCAGTTGTGTTGTGAAGTCAGGATGGTACACAGCTGACAGCCCGATTTGACAACTGTTAGAATTCATATTATGGCAAGAACCAATAAGCTAAGTAAAGAGAAATGACAGTCCATCATTACTTTAAGAACTGAAGGTCAGTCAGTCTGGAAAGCCGCCCCAGGAAAGACCAAGAATCACCTCTGCTGCTGAGGATAAATTCCTCTAAGACACCAGCCTCAGAAATCGCAAGTTAACAGCACCTCAGATAAGAGCCCAGTTAAATGCCACACAGAGTTTAAGTAGCAGACACGTCTGTACATCAACTGTTCAGAGGAGACTGTGTGAATCAGGTCTTTATGGTCAAATAGCTGCTAAGAAACCACTATTAAGGAAAAGCAACAAGCAAAAGAGATTTTTTTAGCCAAGAAGCACAAGGAATGGACATTAGAGCAGTGGAAATCTGTGCCTTGGGCTCATGAGTCCAAATTTGAGATCTTCAACCCACTGTGTCTTTGTGCAATGCAGAAAAGGTGAACGGATGGTCTCTACATGCATGGTTCCCACCGTGAAGCAAGGAGGATGTGTGATGGTGTGGGGGTGCTTTGCTGGTGACACTGTTGGGGATTTATTCAAAATTGAAGGCACACTGAACCAGCATGGCTACCACAGCATGCCATCCCATCCGGTTTGCCTTTATAAATGATAGTCCACATCATTTATTTTTCAACAGGACAATGACCCCAAACAAACCTCCAGGCTATCTAACCAAGAAGAAGAGTGATGGAGTGCTGCGCCAGATAACATAGCCCCCACAGTCAATTGACTTAAACCCTATCAAGATGGTTTGGGATGAGATGGACCACAAAGTAAAGGCAAAGTTCCAACAAGTGCTTCGGCATCTCTGGGAACTCCTTCAAGGACTACGCCATGAAGCTCATCAAGAGAATGCCAAGAGTGTGCAAAGCAGAGCAAAGCGTGGCTATTTTAAAGAGTCTAAAATATAAACATGTTTTGAGCTAACACACCCATAACAGAAATCCACAAGATTTAACTCAACTGGATGACAGCAGAATTCTGTTTTGATCTCTGATCAAAAGATGCCTCTGTGAATGTAAATATGGACAATATAAGAAGTCCAATCTCACTAGAAAATACTGTCTAATATTGGAATAAAAACTTTTGGACAGGTGAAACCAAGGTGATCGCACAACAGATTGAGGTAAAGACAAGAGTTTTCATAGCTGTTTTCAAACATGAAATCTGGAAAATGTCATGAACCATGCTGGAACACTGCAAACAACGGTTATGTTTTTATTACTGGTAATATGGTTTAGTACACTATAGAAGACACGCAATGCCTACTTACTGTGAACTTACTAAAGCATTACCTACATGTGAAAATGGCCAATGTCAAACATGGTGGAGGTCCAAATAAAATCTGGACTTGATTTGACGTGTTTGTATTAGTGTCGAGATGAGGTCAAGAGCATTTGACATTTAAAGGCATAAACTACGATGGCCTCAGCAGAAACTTGATAAGAACATATCTGAATACCCTGACACAAAAAGGGAACACAAGAATCTTTAAAGTGTCTGTTTTAATGTTGTTTTCCCCCATACTGCATCTGGTATATGCTAATTATTCATACTGTATATGCACATAATATATATGCATGTTTTGTACATCACAAAAGCACACAGCCTCGCAAAGAGAGTCTGAGTGAAAGAAACACAGAAAGACAGAAAGATTCAAATCGAGAGAAAAGCTAGTGTTCGTCACACAGTGAAAAAGCCCAAGAGATTGTGAAGCTGTCACAGACAAAACAGTGCATGAATATTTAGCAGCCAAATTAAAATTACAAAATACAAAACAAAAAAAGAGTAGGTGAAAGGAAAACAAAGAAAATAAAACATCCCTGAAAACACCAGTGGGAGAAGTGGCCACCTTTCATCCCCCCATGAAAGGCCCTATCCTCTTAGCTTCTTTCCTCCTCTCCTTCCTGAGTAAAAAGGAGAGATATAATAATATTGGTTGTACTGAGTCTAACAGCGATTCCCCAGATCAAGAAACCTGCAGCAAAATAAACCCTGCTCTCAGATCATAGAAAGGCCTGCAAACACAATTAGCGCAATGTGTTAGTTAGCAAGCTTCTTAAATTGCAGTCCAAACTAACCATAATCATATTTTGACAGTTAATGCAATTAATCACTGTTTCTAAGAATAAAGCCATATTTACACATGTACTGCAACTCTGAGTCTTTCTATACGCTAGAAAGACTGCTTTGAGTACAGGAATAGTCAGAAATAGTCATCCTGTAGCCCACCTCAGGAAGATTATACCCTAGTAGACAATTTTCCAACAACTTAAATGATTAGTACTTAAGAAGTACTCAAGTAATGATACAGGTACTAATAATAGCATGCTCTTATGATGAAAACAGTGTATTACTCAAATATTAGTAAAGGCACTTTTTGATTTCTCTGGGATGAAAACCAAACAACAAATAGTACCTAAGCTTGGCTCTTAAATGCTATTATGGCTTGGGAAGGATAACCCACTAATATTGCATTTATTATCTGCACATAACCTTCATTATTGCAGTTGGTAACTCTCACTAAAACACTTACAAAAGAGTTGGATCATTATTATGCGATGCACAATCCATAGTAAATTTAAGACTAGAAAATAAAACATTAACCTCAGAGGCCTTAGTCTAAACCTCAAAAGACACATTGTAGGCCCATTTAGCTGAAGGGCTGGGTTATAAAGGTAAGAAGCTAGCCAAACGTTTATTTTCAACCTCTCCTTTGAATCATTCATTCTGTCAAATTCTCTTCCCTCCCACCATCTTTTGATCTATCTACTGTCACTCTTAAGGTCACTCTTAAGGTGGAGAGATCTACATGCTGCACAGCAGATCTCAGCAACACTTTTGTTGGACTGCTATTCTTTCCTTATCAAGACAACTTTCCCTTCTTTCCCTCCTGTTCTTGATGTGCAGAGAAGTACCCAAAGATAGTGATGAAGCAGATTGTCTAAAAAGGTAAAACGAACTAAATAGTTGTAGTAGTTTCTTTCTCAAAGAGACTACACACTTTTATTCTTAATCTTTTGACCAAGTTTCACACATCGCCAGCCTGGTGTCTGTATTCCTGCGGAGGTCAATGCTAATATCACTGTGTATTTGTCTTTACAGTGCTGCGAACAAGTATTTACCCCCTTTTTTATATCTTACTTTTTGCATAGTTGTAACAATAAAACATATCAGATCATTAAAGAAACTTTAATAGTAGACAAAGATGACAAATACAAAATGCAGTTTTTAAATTATGATTTTATTTATTAACCGAAAAAAGTTATGCAAACCTAACTGGCCCTATATGAAAAAGCAAATGCCCCCTAAACTGGTTGTGCCACGAACTGCAATCAAGCATCTGCAATAATATACAGCATTTGAAATTTCCCCCATCTTCTTTGCAAAGTTGTTTAATTCAGCCACATTGGAAGGTTTTCCCCTGTCCGTTCATGCCAAAGCATTTCAATTGTATTTCTGTGTGGACTTTAAATAACCTTCCAAAACCTTCTTTTTTCTTTTCTTCAGGGCACAAACTGACATTCTCCTTCGGCAATTTCCGGTAGAGAGCAGAATTCGTGGTTAAATATATTACTGCAAGTTGTCCAGGTATTGAAGGAGCAAAGCAGCCCCCGACCATCAGACTACCATGTCTGAATGTTACAACGGAACGTAATGGTGACTCAAACCTTTCAGAAAGTTCAGCATTTGTCTCGTGAGTCCAGAGAATATTTTCCCAAAAGTCTTGAGGATCATTAAGGTGCTTTTTTTGGCAAACGTGAGATGAGCCTTTATGTTCTTTTTGATCAGCGGTGGTTTTTACTTTAGAACTCTCTCATGGATGCCATTTTTGCCCAGTCTCTTCCTTATTGTCGAATCATGAACTCTGAAATTAACTGAGGCAAGTGAGGCCTGCAGTTATTTAGATGTTCTGGGTTCTTTTGGGAACTCCTGGATAAGTCATCATTACGCTCTTGGGTTCGCCACCGTTGTCTCTATTTGTGAACAATGGCTCTCATCATGGTTCAGTGGAGTCCCAAAGCCTCAGAAATGGCCTTGTAACCCTCTCAGACTAACAGATGTCAAGGATTCTGGTTGACTTTGTTTCTCGGGATGTGTTGCTTTTTCAGATCTTCTAGCCAATTTTATTTTGTCAGACAGGTTCTATTTAAGTGATTTTTTTTATTCAAAAGGGCAGTAAGTAATCAGACCTGGGTGTGGCTAGTGAAATAAAAAATAAAGGTACTTTTTTACATAGAGTTAGATATGTTTGGATAACTTTTGGTCCCTCAATTTTACTCTAGTTATTGTTTATCATTTACATGTGAAAAATCTTCAAAAAAGAAATCAGGAAGAGCAGGAAATACATTTTCACAGCACTGTATTATTGTGTGTGTGTTCGAGAATAAGTAGTGTAAGGGTCAAACACGTACAATAGTGTTTGTGTTAACAGGAGTGTATTGTCCATTTCAGTGCATGCTTTTGTTGGTATGAGGTAGAAAAGACAAGCGGAAAACTAAAACACTCACCAGCTCAACGAAAGACAGTCCTCCATAGCTATGGGCCATGATGAAGACATTCTTGGCTGCGGCTTTGGACACAAAGTGGTCCCACACGTACAGCACATGTTCCTCTGAGGAGCCGTTTTCCTGCAAGACAAAAAATATGCTTTGTCATATCCACAACAAAGACAATTCAAAGAAATCCTTGACGCTTGAAGGCTACCGACAAACTCCAGTTGTGCAACTACAAAACATTTAAGAAGGGTCTAGCCAATGACAATGAAGCATCAATAGAGTTATTAAACTCTATTGATGCTTTAATGCTACAGCATCAAAACCTGCCCCTCTAGGCCCAGCCAAAAAGAGAGAAATTCAAAAGAAAAGTGGATGTAGCCTGAGGTGATTTCTACAAAGAGCCACACTTCAACAGATCAATAAGTCTTGCATATTGCAAATGCCCTAAATGTAAAACTCAATAGGCAGGATGACGTAACATTTAAATCTTAATTTGTACCCCGTTGCTGAATCAATGGTCCATCTAAACACCAGTAGAGGCATAATGGGAAGACACCAGGGCAAGGTCAAAAAAAAAAAAAAAGACGACAGAGAGGAGACATATGCACGTACACACAAAACACACACTCAAGCACAATGCTGTACCACAAATAAATTCCCCTACATCTTTTCTCAATCTCATCTGCATGTATACAGTTGTGCGCGCACACGCACACACATGTGCAGTAACACGCAACCAGAAGACATGTTTAATTAACCTGAGACGTAAGTGCTTATCTGGGACTGGAAAGAACAATAGCAAGTGTACAGCTGCGAAAAGGGCAACCATTAATGAACTTGTGACATTGATTCCAGACTTTGATTTTCTATCAGGCTGTCTGGTTCACAACAGAAATCAACAGTGCATTCGCACAAGAGGTTACACTGCACAAGAAACTGTGTTAACTGAAGACACCTGTATCCTGCGATTCAACAACACGAGAAACTGTAGCCATACGAAACGCAAACCTGATTATTTACACGCATACTTCTCTTAATTGGCACGCCTATGCATACAGAAATAATATCCTAAAGTAAACAAACACACGGCTTGTTGGAGAAGAAATCCGCATCTGTTAATCGAGAGTCAAACTGTTCAATCAAACTCAAAAAAGCAATTAGCAATTTTATGGTAAAGGACAGAAGAGATATCTTAAGAGACCATCCTTTTACTTAACGCAATTCTGCTTTCATTGTGTGAGGACACTGTATTATGTCAGACAGATAATTACTTCAATATTCAAGGTGGTAACTGAGAAGAATGTGCTCAACACACAACTCGTACACACACACTGCAGACAAAGATGTGGTTTAAAGTTTAGTTTTAGTACAAAGTAATCGAGCTTGTGATTTGATTCAATGGTTTCACTCACGTGCATCAGTGTGTGCAAGTCTGTGTGCGGTTGTAGTATTTGATGATGTGCTGATGTGTGTTTTTGTTGCCGTGTTTGTCTAGAGGTAAATTAACCTGTCAGAGTGTTTGTGTTTGCGCTAGATTAGCATGAGGGGGGTTGTAGTGTCAGCACCAACCTCCATTCACAGAGCGTGATGCAAGAGCAGGCAACTTCGCTCTGCCCTGCCCTTCTGCCATCAGGGCTATGCCTTTACTTTTCACGCATTCATGTGTATGTGGTCTCCGGCATGTACGCGGCGGCTGGCTGAAGAAGAGTTGTCTGTCTGAAAGGCTGTGACATCAAAGCCCTTTGAAGTCTCCCTCTTCTCTTCTCCACCATGTCGCCCTTCATCTATGAAGCCCATTTTATTAGCCTGCCTCCTTTTTTCACTCTTCCCTTCTCTTCTACCTTCTTTTCTCCTTCACTGATGCCACCTGTTCTTCTTCACACTCATTTGTCTCATATTTTATCACTTCTCCACCCAAGGTTCACTGACATAGAGACATTAGACATGGCTTGCTGTTCTATGTAGCACACATACCAACGCCTAAACAAGTCCAAAAGTGCTGTTATCAATAGGGTAAAACCTGGCTATGAGTAAAACTGACACGATATTAGTTTTTTGCCCATGTGAGGACAAGATAAATGTCTTTATTTGTTCCTATACTATGACTCATAATTTTGGAAAACACTGCAGGATTTAACATGCGGTGGTGTGTTCCTGACTCCTTCCCCTAACCTCACGCACACACAAATTTGCACATACAGTCTTTGCCTTAGTATCAGGCAACTGTGACTGACTACCTGACATGACATTGTATTGAATTATCTAAACAACATTTGCATATTGTTGCAATTATCTCCTAGAGTTAATTTGCTGCAGTGGAGTCTGCTGCCCTGTGAGACTAGCTTCCCGTCACCAGCTCTCACACGGTATCTTAGTTTATTTATTTTCCAGAGATTTTTTTCCTCTGCCTTTGAGTGTGTGTATGTGTGCGCATTCGTAGATCTGTGTGCATCTGCCAGTACTGTCAGAACAGCCTCCCCACTGCACACCTGTTGCCAGCACACTTCAACCATAGCTGTCAAGGGACATTTGAGAGTGTGTACAATGTGTTTACCACATATATAGGAATCCATACTGTCCCCTCAGTGAATATAAAGTACAAATCCGAACTCTAGACACCCAGGACAAAACAGTCTCCAGATGCTGAAAGACAGCTTTTTATCAGAAAGTTATAGAGAGTGAGAAAGGGAGTGAGAGAGAGATACATAACAGGTGTACAATTGTGTGTCTAGCAGAATTACTCAGTGAGAAGAGTTTGACGTGTACTTCCAGCTTCAAACTTGGAAATTACAAACCTTTACCACATCAACATTCATCCAAATGCACCTACATCAATCATGTCAATAAAGTGCAATGTAGGTAGTGACACAACAAAGACTTTGAGAAACATTTAGGGAACTCCATGCTTAAAACATACTGTGTGCAAACTATTCACACACGTTAAAAAAAAAAATACAAATGACTTCAATGAGTCAGCGAAACAAAATGTGGTTTTAGCCAAGATCCTGCTATGCAATCAGCAGAACACTGATTTCAAGTAATAAATTAGAGTAACATTATGCATGAAGATCTATCCCACTTTCAGTCCATAAGTGGTTCCAACTGTTAGCCCTCTGTTGAAAGTGTGCCTTCCAATTGTCTAGTTTCAAGAAATTGTTCAATTTAGCTCTTTCCATTACTTACACAATAAAGACTTACTCTCCAGTCAAAAGCCATACTTAATTGCAGGCACCCAAGAGTGTGCACACAACACACACATGTACCACAAACACACACAAACAGGCATGCTCCAGTACATTCACACAGATTGAAACTCGCGTTCTTCAAAAGTTTGTCCGGTCCAGTACTTGCCCTGTGTTTATTCAATGTAATGAGAAGCAGGGAGAGGAGAGCAGAAGAGAGGAGTGCACTGCAGCCAGAATAACAGCCTCAACGCCAACACAAACCCAGTGTCTGACCAACACAGGAAACAATGAATCTAACAACATCAACACACTCTGACAAACAACCACTGCAGACCTCCCTGCTCCTCCCTTCTGCTCCTCCTCTCCAGTCGTCCAAAAAGATAGCGGATGTCTGAGGAAGCTGAAATTTCAAGGTGGGAGACGGTGAGCAGTGTGGGCTGGAAGGAATCTAGTGGATAAGAGCCATTCTACTTTTTACACTCAGAAACCTTTCAGCGGAAGCCAGAAGTGTCAGGACAGTGTCACGGGGATCTCTAAACAACTTCATTGGGTTTAGACTCTTTTGCTTGGGCAGATACGGTTCCAGTCCCAAAAAAAAGTATAGGGAAAGACAGAGCACAGAGAAAGCTGAAGAATTATTTAAACGCAACAGAACGCACAGGTCACACAACAATGTCTTTCTGCAAAGGAAGAAGAAAAAAGAAATTAGTGAAATTACACAGGACTCTCGTACTCACTTTTGCTCTCTCACTGACAAGCAGAAACACAGTAAAGACTGGCTGACCAATCTCTCAGTCCCCTCATGCTCGCAGGCCACACACTGAGTAAACCAACCTGCAGCCCTAGTCATTACAGTCTTTAATATGTCCAGCTCAGTGCAGAACAGGATTGTTTTCATTTGGGCTAATGACTAAATATTAAATAAGCAATGTAGGTAATTACATGTTTGGTATTAGCAAAGAGGTTATTAGAATCAGTTAGTTTGTGTTTGTTTGTGAATGACTGCGTGCATGATTCTGTACATGTCTCTGCGCACACAATTAAATAGCGGACCTCTACGACACCTGTTTGCAATTGCATTCTAATCAATGTCTGGGACGTGCAGTCCTTTGCCATCGTTTTCCTGTTTTTTCTTCCCCTCCTGTATTTGTTTCATTCTTTTCTCTCTTTAAAGGCAGACAGAGAGCTCAGGCGAGCTGGAAGCTGTCTGGGAGCTGATGGGTCTGCTAGAGTGGGGGGAAAAGAAGGTATGGAGCAAATTAGCAGCAGAGATGGGAAAATAATGACTGTGGCATTGTAGGTAATTAGCAGGTATACTACCTATGGAGAGTTGGGAATATAATGATGCGAGAAAGAGACGGAGAAAAGGGAGAATGAGGTGAAAAACATGTGCAAGACTAACAAGGGGGGGGAAGAGAGAGAAAGACAGAGAGAGAAATATATGTGTAGGTGTGTTACTTGACTTTGCAATGAGGGGATATACAGTGTAAGGGGGAAGAGAAAGAGTCAGAGAGAGAGAGAAAGAGAGAGGGGGATGCCAGAGAAAGGAGCAAAACTACGGCGTACATGTCATCCCACGTTCAGATTAGCGTGCAGAGACTGTATACAATAAAATAGCATGACCTTGGTAGGGTCAGTCTGCTCTGACAATATTTGCCAGGGCATTGTTTCAAATCAATAACTCATTAACAAAGTACAAAGGAAGTTGCTGTGGGTTTGTGAGATTCTTTATTAGAAAAGAGCGTCTGCGGGCCAGAAAGGTCATCACTGTGACATCTTGGCTAGCCTCGTGCTGCCGCCAGGATTGTCAGGTGAAATTACTGCGAGTCATTAATTGACATAAGGCAAAGGAAAGCGGGCAGGCAGACAAGGCTGTGTTTGTTCCAGGATGACCCTGAGGTGCTGTGTGTGTGTGTCTGACTATATCTTCATTCGGGTCAGCCAGTATCCACAACAGGGTTGTGTGCAAAGAGGGAAAGAAACAGAGACAGGGAGCTCAGTGGGTGGGGAGGTGTGAGCGAGGGCAGGATGGATGTGTTTGATGGTTGACCTGAGTAGAAGATTGGGAGCAGGGATCTGAGACCAGCTACACTTGTTCTGCCCCAAGCGAACTCACAAACACACAGGTATGCATGCATGCACATATGCTGTGTACTAAATAAGTGCGCTCAGAATTGCACACACACACACAAACCAACAGCGCTGAATCCAACAGACCTTCCCTTTTAAAACTTTGAGAAGTTAAAACTAAACTGCCGTAAACAACTCTAATATAAAATAAAGTTAAAGTTAAAAATGCCACACGCAGCATACCTAAAAGACTTGGCTCATAAAAACAGATACACAAGCACACACATCAAAGCTCCTTCACTGCCACATTTACACGGACATACACACCCAAATGCAAAAGTGGCATCCAGCCAATTTGCTCTCTGCAGCAAGCTTGTGAGCTGCCCTCTTGCCCGGGTCATTGACCTCTCCTCTGACTAGGTTCAGAGGTTAATCAAGTCCCTACCTGTCCTTAGAAATGCTGAGCCTCACTTCTTGGCAAGGCTACAGATCAAAGGTCAGGTAAACTATGTCTGTATGACTGCTTGTGGACCACAAAATGGGGCAAATAGGTGAAGGTGACAAAGAGCAAAAATCCACAGAGAAACATGGTAGTACCGTGTCGCAATACAAATGTCAGACTGTGCACTTATGTGTTCACGTCTTAATGTTTATGATCGAGTTCTGGTGTGTTTGTGTGTAGATCTGCGTGCATGTACCTTAGAGAATTTTCTAGTACAGCACAAACAGCAACTTCCTGAGCTAAAGAAGGGAGCCAACCAAAATGCCAAAACTTCAGTTCAAAACCACTGGCTCCTAAAACAAGTCTAACCCCATAGACTTCAATGCGCAAATCATCCAACTTTACAACTGAAATAAACACGTGACAACTCTGTAAAGTGTCATTTTTATAGAACCTAACTAAATTGTATTAAGGCATAAAATTAGAGGTGGGAATCACCAGACATCCCACCATATGATATTATCACAATGCATCACTCAAAATAGAATATTTCTTTGTTTTTAAATGTTTTGAGCTATGCCAACTATTACAGTAGCATATATTGCAATTCATTAATTAAGCTCCTAGATACAAACAATGACCCCAGCTGATTGGTGTAGACAGCTACAACTGGAAATAATGGGCCTTCAGAAGCAAAACCTAGAAAAAGTAAATGTACCGACATACACAACACACTACGTGCATCCAAAAAGATCAGTAGTAGAAGACCCCTAGGTTAAGATAAAACTTTTCTTAAAAAAACAAACAAACCTCCAGTTGCCACTATGGCAAGTCTATAACAAGTGAAAAATATTAGAGAAGAGCACAAAGATATCATGGTGACAACTGAAGTTGCAGTGAATCTTATATAGCAAAAGTAAAGGAAAAGAAGGGATAGCCTCAATCTGAAACCCTAAATTCCTCTAGGAGTGAGGGCCTCTCTTTTTCCCTCTCTTTCTCAATATTTAAGAAATGTACAGCGTTGAAAGGAGAAACATAAAAACACGAAAACAGAAAGAAGGAAAAGCATTCAAGTCATTTATAAAAATAAGTGGTGCTTAAAGAAAGGCGAAGCTCTGTTTTTTGTCCTCTTTGCTCTTTTTTCCCCTTCTTCTTTCCAGGGCCTGCTGGCCTAATCCCAGCCAGCCAGCCTTGGGTGAACTCTTTGGAAGCTTCTTAAGCCCATGAATGTGCCTTTTGTTCCTGCCATTCCTCCGCTTGGCTGACAGAAAATAGCTAACTGGATTACTGCTAAAATTCAGAGTAAAGTGAACTCCCAAACTTCTATATGGTTAAGTGCTAAAAAAGTACCCCCCACCCGCTTCCCCTCCAGTATCCTCATCAGCATCCCTCCGATCAGACTTTCTATCCCTCCATGCCTCCCTGTGCCCTCTCTCTTTTTCTTTCTCCTCTACCAATATCCCCCTAAACATGGCCCATTGGTGTGTGATCTAGAGGAGCAGAGAAGAGAAGGATTAGATAAGGTTGAGAGGTTGCACACTATGAACCCAAGGCTAAAAAGTAAGAATCCTAAAAGCAGTTAAGAGCTTACCAATGTGTGTAAGGAAGCGTATTAATCAACTCAACTCTATCAGTGGGCTGCTGTGTATTTGTGTGTATCTGTCAATCTTTGTGAGTCAACTGGAAGGAAAAAAAGAGATGATAAACTGTAATTTCAGGAGCGTCACAAATATAAACTCAGAGCAAGACAGGTGTTATTTCAAGCTTAAGGTGCTTCTTCTGTCTTGTTGGGTGTCATGATATTGCCAGGACTAGAGGTTTATAGTTTGAATATGTGTCTTTCTGAATGGCTGTGTGCAGGTGGTCTGCCAGCCCAGCGGGAGTAAGACTGTGAGGTGTAGCGAATACAAAGGTTGGTGAGTGAGTGTGTCTTGGGTGGGTGCTGTATAAAAAAAAAGATGAAAACAGCCCTGCTAAAGAGGTTTGATTTGATCCACCACCCACCTTGACCAACAGAGTTGAAGGAAAAAAGCGCACACAAGCACACACAAACACACTATCAGTTCTCTTTTCACCTTCTTTACTCTTTTGTCTGCTGGTATGTGTGAGCCTTTACATATCTCCATGTGTGCATGTGACAGCTTGCTCTTGGACGGATAGAGGATGAGCAGTGGAGTAGTGATGCGGCGAAGGGAGGGGGTGGACAATAAAGGCGAGGTCATACATGCTAACATCCTGCTCACTTCTGGGTCAAAGGTCAAAATTCAAGAGGCACCAACACAGATCCTAACTGCTCACTCGTTAATCGTGCAAAGACAAGTATATTTAGCAGCAAAATCTAAGTCCTGCTCAAGGTGAGTGAGTGAGTATGATATTGCCTTGTGAAGTTTAATAGTTGAATAAAAAAGGAAGTCAACATTGTGCTTGGTTTAAATGGAAGGTTTTCTTTTCCTTTTTTTCGGTCATTAATTATGTCGTCTGTCCTTGCTTTCATCTTGTTGGGATGGGGAATGTGAAGACTGTCCACTGCTTCATACTGCCTCCCCTCAATATATCTGACTGTGGCCAGCATGCATCACTGGGTAAGCAAGCAAAGCTGAATATAAAGACACAGAAATAATACTGCAGCTTACTTGTAGTAAAAGGAAAACTAAGTTGGGAGTGTAGTTTTGATCCAACTCTGCTAACATTACTTAGCGGTAAAGATCCCAGGCAAGAGGATGACAACAGAAAAAGAAGATACATACAAGTAGATACAAAAAAATTGAAATGGCGAAAGCAAGAGATCAGTTCATGATATGAAAATCATTCAAGCCTCAGCAGATACACGTGGTGTACAGCTATAAAATAAATCAATATAGAGCTGACAGCAGATGCGAGTTTGTTTGGCACCATTATTAGAAATGACACGATGGATCATTTACAAAGATCTTCATGTCAGTGAGTGAGTTCACCGCTTGTATGATGAGGAAAGCAGCACACATGCAAAATCTGATAGAGTAAGAGAGGACAGCAGCTAATTATACCTTATTAGAGCGTGTATAAAGGTACTGCTGGAAGGGTGGGGGGTGAGAAAAAGAAGCCCGTGATGACAGCTCACACACCGCCCGCTAGTCCCACAGCAGCCCTAACTCTTGTCAGACACCAGAGAGTGACGTCTTTCACACGCAGACACATGCACATACACTTACACACATGTACAAACACCACCCACATACACAAATGTACATCCATTGCTGCGATGCTACTGCCATCAACCAAATGAAGACTCATATAATCAGTGAGGGTGCTTTGCCTATATGAGACCCAGCCATGGAGCATGATCTTAATTTTTAAGATTTTAAGCAATGACAAAAGGAAGTGAGGGACGAATGACAAAAAAAAGAAAGAGATAATTGGGCTGGACCCTGTTCAAGTGGCCAATGAATATTAAATTTGTCGGCAGGGGTCAAACAGAAGACATCAGAAGCTTTATGCAATGGGTCACTTCCTTTGTTTGACCACAAGGTAAACTGGCCAAGCTAGGCGCCTCGAGTGCTGCATATGAGCATGTGTGTGTTTATGTGTATTTGTATGTGTATGCATATGCGTATATGTATGATTAAGGGGTGCACAGTCAGTGTTGCACGATAAGAATGTTGCAGTGTGTTTGCACAGTGTGTGTTAGGGAGATAATAATCCCAGCGGTCAACAAGAGTGAAGGGCCAGAGCTGCACTGACCAGCCCACCATCTGAGAGGGGAAAAAAAGTGAGGGGAAGAGGGGGAGGAAGAAGGAGAAAGGGAGGTAGCCATGTGGTTAACACTTGCTCACTGAGAGGCGACTGGAGAACAGCCAACCTCTTCACACACAGGCTGACCACACAAGAGCCTCTCTTTCTCCCTCTGCCTTCCATCCTCCCTTCATCCCTTGTTACCTAACATATCCTTCCCTCACTTCCTTAGCTAGCTTCCTCCTCCCCGCTCCCCCTTGCCACATTTGTCTTTCGAAACTTAGCCAAATTCCTGCTATCCATTTTCTCACCTATGTCTTGCCTCCTACCTCCTCCTACGACCCTAGAACTGTCACTCTGTCCACCTCCACCATCATGTCTACATTTCATCAGCATCTATCATCTTTTCCTCTAGCCCTGGCTCTGCAAACACATCCTCCCTGCCTTCCTTCTCTTTCCTCTCTCCATATCTTCATCGTTCCCTTTTTTGGACTTACTCGTATAAGAATCCGTTCTGTCTCAGTCTCTCTTTGTGGGTTACGGTATTTCTCATAAAATTCCTTCTTCTTTTTCCCCTCTTTATCGTCTTTGCGCTCCCTCTTTTCAGCAGGTTCGTCGGAGGTCTCCGTCGGAGAGGGCAGGGGAGACTTTGTCGGTTTTTCCACTTCCAAATAGTTCTCATTGGGGTTGAGCACCATCACGCCGTAGCCCTCCTAAAACAAATAGGAAACATACATTTGTGTGTTAAATCCAAGGCACGAGCATCGTGAGATAGTTACCTTAAAGTGTTAAAAGTGTTGGATATTTTATCCATTAACACTATAACTATATGGTATTTGACTATTTCCGATTTACGTAAACCTTTTTAAAATAAAATATTTGTAAAAGAAAAAATAGAAATACAAATAGAGGCGATAACCTTTAATCTGCATTTATTTCTATAATATATCAATAAATAGATGCATCTTTGTAGACATGTATATACAGAAACATATGTGTGATAGGGGTGCAGATTTTTAGTTTCCAATATGTTGAGGTGTTTCGGTTATTTAGTTTTGTTTTGTCTCCATGATACAATTATGAACTGAATTAAAAAGTGATGAGAATTTAATGCTTTTTAGAACATGTTTCTTTTCTTTTCGTTTTTTTCTTGAGAAAAATCTGATAGTCCCTTTGTCAGGCCGACTAGGTAAGTAAACAGCAATATAAATGTAACAATGCAGAGTAAACCACAAGAAAAAGAAGCTCACAAACATTTCTGTGTAATCTTGGTCTGGTAGTGGTTCATAGTCTTTAACAAAGAGCCCAGCAGTGGATCTTTATGAGCAAATAATACCAACACGACACTTAAAAGACACAGATTGTGACATGACTCGGTGAAAAGATGCAAATCCAGACTGAAAGAAATGGCAGCGAAAGAGATAGAGGAGAGAATGTCACTGCAGGGACAAGCCTGAGGAGTAACTAGGGGATTGGAATTCAGTGATGGTGGTTTCAGTAAGTGAGTAGCATTTAGTGACTCCAAAGGCCATGTGTCACTTAATATCAGACCCAATCGATCCTACCATCACTCAGTGAAAGGCTTAGCTACAAATGTAAATATGACTTGAAACTTCTGCAGGCAGCACCGCAGATAAAAGTTGCATTAAGAAAAAAAACCTTAAGAAAGAATTACGGTTTTCAAGTGAAAAGAAAATATTTGATTTACATAAAATGCCGCAATAGTAAGGGCTTAAAAAGACTGGGAAAAGGAGAAGAAAGAGCCTATGTAGTTATTAAAAAAGAGAATAACAGAAGGGATGTGCTGCTATATGCACACTGTAGAGGAAAGGAAGTTTTTTTTTGTAGCCTAGTGACTTCTTCAACTTTGAAGCCATTTTAATTAACTGTGTTTATTGTCCTAAGCACTCTGAAACTAAAGCAGGAAATGGATGGATTCCTGTTTCACTTTGGGCTGGCTTTTCACACACAACCCCCATTGTGAACACACACACACACGCACACCCACCCCAAGGCCTAAACTTATGGGTGCAGGACTTTCTAACTCCACACCAATACAGACATGAACACTAAACTGTGGGACACGAAAGATATGTGTGTGACAAAAAGACCTTTAGGAGTTCTAAGAGAGGCAACTTCACCGGGCTTCCCCACAAATTGCCGTCACACACACTGCCTCCTCACAGCAACATGTCGTCTATTCCTTAATAAGTGTTATTGCAATGTGCATGTCTTTTGTTGACGCAGCATGTGTGTGTCCCTCCTGTGCATATTGACATCAAACCTGCCACACACCCTTTCCCTTAGCACTTACCATGTGTTGACAATGGCGACTGACACTTTCTCACGTCTTCTGATTATTAAAATTAATCTTACGCTCACTCTTATTCAAATTCAAAGGTTCTTCTCTTCTATACATATTTTTAATAGAAAAAACATTGTGTGAAGAAAGCCAGACATTATTAAATAATTAATTATTATATATTATGTATATACATTTTTAAACTTATTAGCTTTTACATTTTAAACACCACAATAAATATATTTAGATAAATTTAAATAAATTTTCTTCTACGGTACATACTTCAGTTCAGTTTTGCTTTTCACTACAAGGCATAACAAGTCTGACATTAATGTAGGAAGTGGTTTATATTAAAAAAATATATAGATGATGCTTCCAAATCTGTATTTAATCACTTTCTATGTGTGCGTATATGCATGTACAGCATGAGTAAAGTTTAAGAGGTAATAAATGAGTTTCTATTAGCAAGATTAAATTTAGGCTTCAGACATCACAGAGACATCTGCACGCAAGAAGTTTAGACAGACCAGAACATTCAAGCAGATGAATTACCAGATGAAAAAAACAACAGAAGCCGGTGAGGGTAAAAGAGAGCAGTGAAGACAGAGAGATATACAGATGGATTATAAAAGGATAAGACCGAAATAGACAGAGAAGGAAGGAGAAGCAGAGAGATGTACTCTAGGCCGATAGACACCAGCTTTGTGCCACTGCCCACTGGTGGTAGTCTGATAAAATAACTGACAAGACCAGTTCAGCCTATGGGAGCAATTTCATTACTAAAAACTAATACTAATTATATTATGAACAATTTTCAGGGTAATACACTGCAGTACATCAAACTCACCTAATAGAATCTGAACAATATACATGAAATAAAAAGATCAATCTTTATCATATTATCATCTTTAAAATACAACCGAGAATGTGCAAGCTCTGTAAACTTTAACGTTTATGGCAGTGTTATTGGATTAGACTGGATGATGGTTAACAGGTGACTCTTATAAAGTATAACAAGGCTGAAGGAGAAGAATACAAATGTAGACTGAAAGATATATAACATTTGAAGTGTATAAAACAACATGAGTCCAATGGGGCTGCCCATTTTTCTCTTACCTAAATCCCAGTTCACAAGGCCAAAAGTTAATGGTTTAGCAACAGTGGCGCACGTGTTCTAATGGTAGCCCTATGGCTTATAACCCTTTTTAGTCTTCAGTGCTCTTACCCCAACTCTTACTGGTCAATAATGCTCTCCAGATTTAAACACACAAATGTCAACCTCAAGTAGCCCAGTTCTGAGCCTTTAGTGTCCTTATGGTAACCCCGAGTGCCCTGTAGCCTTTGCTTTGGAGAGGTAACAACACCTACCCAACCTAACATTACTAACCCCTTTCAGTTGGCCAGTCACCCAGAAGAACATTGCTGTAAAGGCGACCAGTGTCGTTGGCGTTCTTAGTCTGGAGGAGCTGGGCCGCCAAGTTCACCTCTATGTCGGAAACCATCATTCATTTGAACACTAAGAGGTCTGCTTTGATGTCAGGGCAACAGTGCTTTCCCTGTCCAGTCATTTCCTCCTCTTATTGTTGTCTCCATCAACAAAATATATGACTCTGAGCTCTGCGGGTGGAGAGGACAAGTAGATTTTTTTGTGCTTATTTTACTTTAATAGAATTCATTTTAGGTTTGATTCTACTTCTTTTCTTTCTTTAACTTCCAGATACAACTAATTACTGCGACCCTACGACTGGATATAATAAATTCACTTCCCTAGAAAATACATGTTTTGTAAGAAAAATAGGGTATTCAAATTAAAAAGCAGAGTATCAATGATGTCCTCATGTATCACAGGATAAGTTTTTCATAAAAAGCTGTTTATCATCTAAATGTGTGCAGCTTTTTTTTTGTGAAAACCAAATATATGGAGATATGTCTTTCTGTCTTTTCGCAGCTTCTTAGCTACCGCTAAGTCCAACTACTCCCCATCATTCACACAACACCCGGCCGTGGAAAAACTGATCTTTGTATTGTGATGTGCTGTCAAAGTGTGAACCTTACACAAATGCACATTGCCAAACGTTGGGTCACCCTGCCTTTTTATCACTAAATCTCTCTCACACACATTGCTAACACTAGGTCACTCCCTTTGTCCTACACGAGCACACACTGTCTCGAAGAAAACAGACAGAGACTCGTACGCTCCTCTAGAATTCGGTCAGTCTTGCCTTTCTGCTGTAGTATGCAGCCTAAGTCTCTTCCCATGCCCCGCAGGTGCCCCTGTGCCACCACCACACTGAGCCCCTGCCCTGGGGCCAGCGGTCAAGAGGATCACCCCGACCCCTGTGAGAGGGGGGGCACCCCGACCTCATCACCTCGCTCTGGATGCTCCTTAGCTCTCCTTTGTCGGCCTGTCCCACACCAGATAGCACAACAAAGGCTGCCGCTGCTACGGAAACCAGGGCTCGACTCATCATCATGATGAAACCTCCATCATCTCATCAAACAAAGCAATGCTTTAAATGCAAAAAAAACGTCAGTTTTGTGTGCAAGGTATTAAGAATAAGTAATAATAATACCAAAGTAAAATCAAACATTTATCATATATATGTGTGTGTGTGTGTGTGTGTGTGTGTGTGTGTGTGTGTGTGTGTGTAGAGGATGTGATTGTAATTCCTGATGAAATATTATCCAATAGCATCTTATGATGCCTCTATAGAAAAATAGTTGTGCCTCCTGTCCACTCTTTCCCTCTAGTCACATTATTTAAAAAGAAAGTGGATAGTGTTTGTGTGTGTGCGTGCGTGCGTGTCGACATGTGGGCGAGCGCGAGTGAGAGTAAATAAGGTGTCCCTTTAAGACAGCGGCACCTCTATTTTTCCAGTGGCGTTGTAATGAAATGAAATGTGTCTAATGTGCAGGAGCGGGGACAGAGGCGGCTGGAATGAGAGGGTGTTTCATCTGTGCGTGTGGGGCTCCACGAAGCTTTGATGTGAGAGCTCTCATGTAGTGAGCAGGGCTCTGGGCACAAGGAAAAGGACAGCACTTGACAGGTACAAAGCATGGCTGATAGCGGTCATGGGTGCATGCAGTGAGGGAAAGTGGATGGTATGGTTGTGTGAATTGGAGGGTCTATGTGTTGTAGGTGTATTGTTTGGTGAACAGGAGCAAATAAATGTTCTTCTTCCTGTTGCACTTGTATATTAATGCACTGATGTGTGCGTGTGCATGCAAATTACATCTCAAGAATCAGTCTGCAATCTATGGAGTCCAGCGAAATTGGCCCTTAGGCAGCTTACATTATTAGTTTTCTGTCAGGTGGCTGTTAGGATCAGGGCTCTTACAATCAAGTGGCTCAACAGCCTTCTCTCCACTTCCTTGTTCCAGCAATATGCAGCCCCCCGATTCGCTACTGTG